GTTCATTATTGGTAAATATTAGTTAACATTTGCTTATCCAAATACCCAAATGTAAGGAGAGATGAATGTGGTCGCTGGTTAGAATCCGGCCGTGGTCCAGATTTTCATCTCACCTTTAATCATCACCCAGAACAAAACATTTGTTGACATGACCTCCGCCTCGAAAAATTTACGGTAACATTTTCCAACGTACTTTGATTATCAATCAAAATTATTCCTGATCATCACCTAATCTTTAAAAATACGGGGTCAACCAGTCGGCAGTGAAGTGGTGCTAACTGAAGACCTTGGGTGATAGTCGTGCTATGTCGTTAATTGACAGAAGTTGGAAATTGTGAACCACTGGAAACCGACTCAGTGGCTGGATGGTTAACACGTTCACTATGAAACCCAAAGGTCCTGAGTCCTATCCCTAGCCGGGTCTTATGTGCGTAATGCTGAGGAGTCCCATACTAGGACGAAACAGCTGTCCAGTGCTTCCAGATTTTCAATGGTTCCCCAACTGATGTCAGTCCATGATAAATACTACTTCTAAATACGAGGAAATTAAAATTTTACTTCAGGCAGCCTATTTCGAGTGTCTTTTAAAGGCCACCCTATCAACAACTGAAATAACCAACTAAACTACTCTATTTTATGAAAATCTGCCTTTCTAAACGAAATGAAGAAGACTAACTGATTACTTCGATAGTTGCTAGGGTGGCCTTTAAAGTCACTCACTATTTCAGCCTCACATAAAATTTTAGAATGGTCTTAACTGTAAATGATAAAGTGACCGTAACGTTAATGTCTTCGTCTTGTAATAAGTTTCTTGTCGATCAATGAAAATATATTTATGATTTTCTTGGAAATCATAAGTTTTTATAAATGACATGTTACCTGTAATAGCTTTTATTTGTGAATTCTTAAAATTCACTGTAAGTTATATAGATCAGTGAACAACTTGTTACTATGATTAGATATTAGTTGACAACGTTGATCTGAAAAATTTACCTCACCCTATGTATCTGGCGTTCGCTAGGTGAAATGAATGAGAATGAAGAATTGTTTGCAGAATTCTGCGCATTCAACGATTTGGTGATTGGAGGCAGTGTGTTAAGGCACAAAGATATCCACAAAGCGACATGGATTTCACCAGACACCAGGACACACTAAAAATTAAATCGACTTCATCTCAATCTCAAGAAAATGGAGACACAGTCTACTTGACACAAGGTCAAGAAGAGGAGCAGATGTAGGTTCAGACCACTACCTAGTGCAAGGAACCTTCCAAATCAAGTTAAAAGCCTTCGAGGAAGCTGGTGATAGACCTCAATTCAAGTACAACACTCGGAAACTGAAGGATGAAACTACAAAGGAGATCTTCAAGGCAGCCATCAAGACAAAATGGGAGACATCGAGCAACATCCCTGAAGAAACTTGTGTGGAAGAACACTGGAACTCTTTGAAAGCTATGTGGAAAGAAACCTGCACAACAGTATTAAGAAGGAAGAAGAAAGAAGATAAGGAATGGATCTCGACAGACACATGGAAGCTGATAGAGCAGGGAGAGGATGATGGTGATGGTGAAGCAGAAGATAAACCAGTGCAGTGCAAGGATGCTCAACTACAAGAGGAACTGAGCACAATGTATAAAACACTGGATAAAGAAGTGAAGAAGAGTGCACGGAAAGACAAAAGACACTTCTACGAAGCACTGGCAAGTGAAGCAGAACAGGCTGCAGGTAAGAGAGACCTGACGACATTGTATCAAATAACCAGGTTGCTATCAGGGAAGAGACCAACACAGATGAAACCAATAAAAGATGAAGAAGGAAATTTAATTACAAAAGAAGAGAAACAGAGGAAACGATGGGCCGACCACTTCAAGAAGCTTTTGAATCGACCACCACCTGCACTTCGTCCAGAAATACCACCTGCAGCCGCTGAATTACAAGTGAACATTAATCCCCCAACGAAAATGGAAGTTATGAACGTCATAAAGCTACTGAAATACGGGAAAGCAGCAGGACCAGATGGAATACCGCCAGAAGCACTGAGAACAGATGCAGAGACAACAGCGGACATGCTCACACCACTATTGCAGAAGGTGTGGAAGGAAGAGAAGGTACCTGACGATTGGAAGAAGGGTTACCTTGTCAAACTGCCGAAGAAAGGAGACCTCAGTGCTTGCAAGAACTGGCGCGGAATCACTCTCCTGTCCACCCCAAGTAAAATATTAAGCCGCATCATCCTGGAGAGGCTTAAAGATGCACTGGATTCAAAACTGCGACCGGAACAGGCAGGCTTCAGGAAGTACAAATCATGTGCAGACCAAATTGCAACGCTGCACTACGCATCATCATAGAACAGAGCATAGAATGGCAATCAGCTCTCTACCTCAACTTCATCGACTTTGAGAAGGCCTTTGACAGCGTCGACCGAGAATTAATTTGGAAACTGCTTCAATACTACGGAGTACCGCAAACCTTTATCCGCCTCATTCAACAACTATATGAAGATGCCACATGCCAAGTAACCCACAATGGGAAGCTCAGTGATGCCTTGGAAGTGAAGACAGGAGTGAAACAAGGTTGCCTACTATCCCCCATGATATTCCTGATTGTGGTGGACTGGATCATGCAGCAAACAGTAGGCAGCGAGAAGAGGGGGATACATTGGACGACGGAAAAGAACCTAGAAGACTTGGATTTCGCCAGTGATGACTTATGCCTAATGTCACACAAACTTGAAGATCTGCAGGCAAAAACTAACAAGTTGACAGAAGAGGCAGCTAAGACGGGACTTCAGGTGAATATAGAGAAGACAGAAGTGATGAAGATACCGCACCACCACCATCAACAACAACAACAACAAACTCCAATCACCGTCAACGGGAGAAACTTGAAGGAAGTAACCTCCTTCACTTATCTAGGAAGCACTGTTTCAACTACAGGCGGGACGGACGAGGACGTCAAAGCCAGAATCGGAAAAGCAAGACAGGCCTTCATTAGCCTGAAACCAGTGTGGAGATCTTCTGCACTCAGCATGCGGAACAAGATACGGATTTTCAACACCAACACCAACGTCAAGTCAGTGCTCTTGTATGACTCAGAGACTTGGCGCGTCACGAAAGGCATTTCCAATAAACTACAGACATTCATCAACAACTGCCTACCTTAGCTGGTTACTGAAGATCAGATGGCCAGAAAGAATAAGCAACAAGGAGCTCTGGGAACGAACCAACCAAGAACCTATCACGCAACAAATATGCAGGAAGAAGTGGAGATGGATTGGCCATGCACTGAGAAGGCCGACTGAAGACATCACGCGTCAGGCCAGTAGCTCGAGTGGAATCCCCATGGGAAGCGACGAGTTGGACGTCCGTGGTGAGGGTGACATGGAGGAGGTCGTGCGAGGAGGAAATGAGAGCTTCTGGGCTGTCGTGGGACCAGGTTCAAAAGATCTCAGAGAACAGAGGTCACTGGAGGCGTGCTACTGAAGCCCTATGTTCCACTAGGAACCGAAGGGACTAATAATAATAATAAAAATGTATCTGGCGTTAGTTACGAAGATATCACAAAGGTTAATCGCAACATATATAAGATCTTAACATCCACCAAATATTTCAGAAAGCATCATTTCCACTTTTAAACAAGGATGCACTTATGGTGTGACCTGTGCGTGAATTCGCTGTTGATCTGCTCCACTTTGGCAGTCTCGTTTCGTCAACTGGAAAAGTTCTCGATGGAATACATGCATTTACTAGGTACAAGGAACGAAAGGAGTGAAATCAGGGTACTTTTTAAAACTGTTAACGATGAATGGAAGGTTCGTCGAAGATCTGTGTATCTCCCTTTATGTAAAAAATATCAAGTACTTACACAGTATTCATAAGCCCATTTACTGCAGTTATTCGATAATAACAATTCATATGCACTACTACTTCTTTGAGGCGTAGGAAATTAAATAATGCTGTCCCTTAATCACAGTTGAAATAAAATAATTCCGCCGATGTCATACTTTAGCTTCAGTAACAAATCTACTTTCAATAAAATAAAAAAACTCGAAAGGCATAATACGCATTCGCGACTTCGTAACAAACATGGAAATATATTTCGGTAAATTTATCTATCTCAACGTAATTACTTAGTTTGGATCAGAACTACCAAAGCTGATTAATCAGTTTCTGAGTTGTACATCTCCAAGTTTTTCCAAACCATTCAGTCTATTGTCGGTTAGGATACATTCAGATTTAAATATTTAGATGACGAGTTTGTGTATTGTGGAGTGGAATAATGTATCATAAGTGCATTTTTCGTGAAAAGTTTACACATTATGATAAGCTTTTATTTCGGTTATATATCGACCAAAATATTAAAATATTCCAACTATTGCTGTGAACACGGGCAGTAACTTTGCTTGAAATATTATTGAAAGAAAAACTTATCATTATGTTCAAACTTTTCATTAAAAATGTACTTATAATACACGTAGGATGTAGATTTTTCTGCAAAACTTATTTATAGTTATAAATTACATTCAATACGTTTTGAAAAAAGCTTCGTGAAATATTACACAACCTTGACATTATAGAATAAAAATCTACAACTGTTTAATTAATTTTGGATTTAATTTTAACCGGATGGTGACTACTTTCTCAATTCATTTGATAAGTGATCATGATTTTCTAAGCCAATCGAAATGCAGATAGATTATCTTGACTCAACTAATCAGATTCCAATAAACAATTGTTCTAGTAAAATAGAAATGTGTTTTGGCAACAAACATATTGTCTTGTAGACAGAGGAATCAGTTAACCACATTTCCTTTCCAATTTTCTTCTTCAACCTGAATAAATTAGGGGTTACAAGTTTATCGGGCAATAAACATCAACGAAAAGTGAAAAACAGAAACCAATCATTACTTATATTGACTTTTGCCTAACTAATTCGACCGATAAAAACTGAAACACTTGGTACTAAAAATAAATATAAATAAACCATGAGAAAAGTACTCACTTTTGGGTTTTTTCGGCCTAAAATTTAAATTTATAAAAATTAAGAATGAGGCATCGAAAGCGAGTATAAAACCGTAAACATCACTTGAAAATCTTAAAAAAATGGTCTAAAAGTTGAGGCTTCGACCTCTGGCAAGGGGGGTCGTAGTTAGTATTGTCTCTTAATTTGACGACATCTACAGTGAATTCGATAAGTAGAGCTCCACTGATTGTTTGCATTCCCTTAACATAAGAAACACATGAAATTCCATTGTCACGGTTGGAAATACTGCTTATTATAATAAAAGAAATCGCAACCAGTAATAACACCACATCAATATTTTTTAATTACATTATAAATCCTTTCAGTCTCCACACACACCATTAGCTTTGTTCGAAAAGTGTATGACAGGTAATGGAAAAAATTAGAATTAAACAGAATTCAATAAGCGTAGAAGAGGAACATTTTAAGTACTTTATTGATATTACATTACTACTACACTCCATCAGACACTGCAATCGATTTAAAATTAAATCTAAGACGGACTGAAGCTTAGATGATGTGAAGACACAATATACCCAGTTAGTGCCATGATATACAACCTACTCAAACTGAACATAAACAACTGACGGTCAGTGTTAACAATTATAGTGGATAATCAGTAACACAGATGCATTAAGTATCACTTTAAAAATTGAAAATAGATTATGCACTGTGGAAAACCGTTGGAAATAATCACAAAGTTCTTGCACCTGAGTGTTATGTGAATGGTAGCCAAGGTGCGAGAATTCCAACTTTTTTGAGAAAGATGGAGGTCATCATGAAGTTCATTTGTCTTCAAATTCCAAGGCTAACAACCCTTGAGTAACGGCAGTAGAGGTCTATACCAGTAACACATAACCTCTCCGACCTGACGACAGCTGACAACTCTGATTTACCAAATCTCATTCTCTATAGGATTTACATGGGTTTGGTTATCCAGTAAGTGAAGTAAACATGGTGCCATTGGTATTCTCTGAATCATTTGTGGTTTTCATGCTATTTACTGACCTTAAACAGGGATTGAAAGAAGCGAACACGCAATCAAACTAGAAAACAGCGCTATGGGATGATAGGTAGTCAGTTGTGTTGCGCTAGCATTACTTGGTAGGTCACAACTTCCGAGACACGCGAAAGTGATCATATAACCTACTGGTGTGAAATAATATTACATATGGTTAACAGCTGACACTAGTGGAAGTCATACAATGATTCCTTTGTGTCTTTTTCTTTCGAAAAAAGATACAAAGGTAGTAATAGCTTTCTGGATGTCTCATGGTACCTTTATCCTGATTATTTAGATAACACTTTCCTCTCTTTGCCTATTATATCTCTGTAATGCAGTTGCATAGTTTTATGTGACATATTTCTCGATGCTGGAACCACAGTGAAGTTATGGTATAAACAAATAAATAAAACAGCAAACGAAACTTTTACGTGACGATTAGTGATTTAGAAGTATTCATTTCACTTTTGACTTACATCAGTTAAGTCGAAACAGTAATTAATTCATTGATTGCTCTACACTAGACAATCTAATATATGACCAGTCGTGAAAATAATCTGTTCTTATGCTGCTCGATAATCAATACCTTGGACACTACCACAAAACCGATCACAGGGCCTCCTCCTTTCTTAGTCATCAACACATTACGAACAGTTCATTAATCTTTGCCCGTCTATCATTCATCCTAACCCCCATACAGTTTCAGTCACTTCAGGAACAATCCAATTCCCAACAATTGACTTGACTCGTACACTTCTGTCTATATTAAAACTTCTAACTACTTTTTGCATGCTGCTGTGAAGCGTAGCAAATTGGGTTAACGCATTTCAGTGCCAGGTTCTACGTTGATACTTCTGTCTGCTTAACTTCGTGGCAATTTCTGACTGTGAAAGAGAAGACCAGGAAAGGGTATACTGCTAATCGAAACCCGGTACTTGTGCTCAAGTAGCTATTTAATTGCTAACGGAGAGTTGTCATCCAAAGTGACAATGAAATGGTATCTACAGTGGTATCTACTGTTTCTACACTTATTCGACTTTGTCACTTTTGCTGATTTATGACATGACAATATGTAACTAATCCCTCGGAAATCGACCTACAGTCGGAAATGTCATTATACTGATAGATGACATCGATAAAGTGTGAGATCTACTGAAGATCTTGCATGTTTCTTACTCTTGTCAAATGTAAGACGATACTTTAGTAGTCTGGATGGTTTTCCAGTATAAGGAATGAAGCAGTTAAACGCGATGATTAATTAATTTGCTTAGGAAACTTAACCAAACTAAATGAACAGATCGAGAGATAAAATCAAAATAGAACCTCACACAGAAGTCCATCGGTTCAAGTTCCTGCACTTTTCAGCAGCACACAAAAAGACTGATATCAAAGTAGATACAGCTCCATGGGAAGAGAAAGAGTTATAAGTTAAAGCTTAGTGAAAATATTTAAGTGTTGGAAGACGTCAAAAAGAGAATACATCTTGGCCATTGTGTCCGATTTCCAGTTAACAAACTAAGGATATACAAACATTTGTTCCTGTCATCTTAGGGACACCAGCCAAGCAGTCTGCATCTCCCCGCACGACTCAAATCAACAGTCAGAGACTTCACCGATTGATGCCGCGTCTTGGTTCGGCCACCCTGAGCTCTCTTCTAACCTAATCAGACTTCTTTTGGCATTGTACATCGAGGTAGGCGGTTACGCAGTACGCACAACACCTGTCCAAACCACCTCAGTCGACAAAGGTTCCCAACCTCATCAATCGACTTGCATGTTTTGACTAGTACTCTTCGCCTAACCTCAACATTGCTCAGACGGTGATTAAACCAAACGTGAGCAGTGTTAGGAAGAGGCGTGTTGTCATATCTTCTACTTTCAACGTCTGTCTCAAAGCTGCATAACAGGACAGAGTGGACTGCAGCGCAGTATACTCGTTCTTTGGTAGATATGGTCGGATATCTCCCCAGTCGGTGTCAGAGACGACACAAGTTAGCAAGTGCGAAACAAACCTTTTGTGTTCGAGCTGGCTAACGATAATATCTCAAGAAGGTCAAAACCCCCAATTTGAAGTTTACTAACTAAAGCCACATCTAATGGTGGTAATATTCCCAACTACTTATCGCAGGACGAGTATACTGAGCAACAGTTTGCTGTATCCTATTATGTGGCTGAGACAGTCATTGAAAGCGCGAAAACATGAGTTAGAGTGGGTCATGATGTTCGGAATCAGAGATTGCATACTCTGGGACACTGCTGAGAGTAGATAACAAGTGTTCAGACGTATATGCTTCTTATCATCTTAAAAATCAAGAACAGTTTTAGTAACCAACAAACATTTTTCCTCCTTTCCTGATACAATTTCGTCTACCTTTATAATATTCTTTTACTTTATCAGAGCAAAAACAATAATGAGTTCTCCAAACCACACAATAAATATGTGTACAGCCACATACTCATTTTACATAAGATATTATTTGCAGATGGTAGCTCTGCAGATGAAAAGTCTATATCCACAACAGCTGCCTACTATTTACATTAACTTGTAACAGCTAGTGGCTGCTAGGTTTGGATCTTCTCTACCGAAAATGAAAATTTAAAAGTATAGTCAAAATTACATCAATAAGGGTTTTGACGTACTCGAACGTTTCGTTTGGCCTCGATTACGAGGTTTCGTTGCCCGAACTTTTGCAGATGATTTTCCTTCGGATGATTCACTGTCACTTTCAGGATTATTGGGATTGAAATCATCTCTAGATCTTTTTAGGTTTCTACCTTTTGGATCTAGGTTATAGGTTATTTCGCCAGCGGTATCCTGTTGACTCTGATTCCAAATGATTGGCATCGACAACGGAAAGGGTTTATTTTCAAAAGAAGCCTTGTCAATTGTTTTCCTTTGCGAGTTTTCTTCAACGCTAATGCTTGGTTGTCCAATGACATAATGATCGTTCTGACTAGACACATCACTCAGAATACTTTGCAAACAACCACCACGCCAAACCAGTTGACTTCCTGCAGTACTCTGTTTTGGAAATAAAACAACACGCTGAGTGACTTTTCCTACTGAGGTTTCTGATAAATTGTTTCCCAGAACAGAATCATTAGGTGGCATTTTGATGACAGAAAGAGCAGGGCGAGACATATTTTAATAGATCTAGAAAGTAATGAAAGTTTAAGTGAAATCGCTGTCAATATTGGTTAGGAAAAAGCATAAGTTTTTCGAAGGTGGCATTTCAGCTCAACTTACCTTACAAAACGTCTACCTTCAACTCGTTTATACAGCTATGCTAAAAAATATCGAGTAGTCACGAAATGGACTGTGCTAGCTGTCAATATGCTACTAATACTCAAATCTGAAGTCAAACAGATCATATTGAGAATAGGTGGTTGGGGTCCACGGGACAAGAGGAACCAGTGGTTGGAGACCCTAGGTGATATGGCTCAGAACCGAAGTCAGTGGCGCAGATGTATACACACATTATCCTCATCTTAACAACGCTATACCGAATCTCACTATTTTGTCACTCCTCTTTCCTTTCTTCTCGTACTTTATATTTCTTTTGACTGCATTCACTTATCTTCATCCTTCACCTCACTACCTTTTTACATGATGTGCTGATATGAGGTGTGGCAACTCGGACCGTTACGCAGTAATGCCTGGTCCTATGTTGATAATGATGATGATTTTGAGAATAGCTATCCATGGAGTAAGAGCACTCATTCTTCAGCACATTTTTGGTCTGTGCTATATATATATATGTGGTACGCAACCCATCAATGCGGGTGGTTCTAAGCCACGCCTTTGAAATCCGATCTCTCCAGGTTTGAGATGTCTGGCGACTCTGCGTTTTTGATTACCGCTGTCTTCACAGGATTGCTCACACCCAGAGGAAACTCCATATAAGTAATTCTGAGGTGAGACGGTGTGTAATTTGGCATGATGGATATGGAAATTCACTATGGTTATCTTGAGCAACACGCTTCACTGGCTAACACTTGTTGAGCATACCGCACAAGCGGTTGCCAAATCGTTTACTATTCGTCTGTCATGAGATTGGTTGGAAGAAGCAGAGATGTAGCCAGTCTATGAAGTGATGATGCGGCATGATAAGTAGTAATTCTCTAATATCTACTTGGTAACTCTCGTTAGTTCGATCCATAATACATTCTATTCGTTTATATTGCAATTTTTATCCATATTAAACAAAGACAATTTAGCGAAGGAAATTTTCTTCTCATTACATTCATATTTATAATTACAACAAAAATATGTCTATCGTTTGTAAGTGGGTTAAAACTAGGTCATCAGAAATTCTTTATATGATTGCAAGGTAATGGATGAAAGCTAACGGCAGGGTAATTGCTCAATAATATTTGAAGTGATAGAACAGGTAATAAAAGTGGGATGGTTTTACTGAAGTCAACGATTACAGAGTAAGGAAAGGGATTGAGAACAGTGTTAATAAACAAAATAAAATAAATAAATAAAATGTCTTAGAGCGGTTATGACCCAGCTGAAATTAAAAATTGGACGTGCCTCTTTTGAATGCAGAAATTAGGCTTCAGTTGATGAGTTGCCAAGGCTCCTCCTCAGACAGCCATGTAGGAGGGCTTAGAGATGCGTTTGGACAAAACACATTTTGTGTGGTCTATGTAACCAAGCCGCATAACAGTAAGTGAATCGGCAAACATACATGAAGGTGCTGTAAAGCGGTAGTTCGTTCTTCAAACACCCTCAAATCAAGTTTAGACTGGAGAAAATAATTCAAAGGTGGGCAGGAGAGGTTTTCTTCAGTGATTTATAAAATCGATTCTTATGTACCCCTGCTACTGTATCTCCTTTAAATCTAGTGTTCATAAACGTCTTTTTGAAACCTTAGGGCACTCTTTGAAGTACTCAAGCTTCTCATTTACCGCATTATCTGCACAAATTCGTCCAATTATTGCGAATAGGTGAATAAACTAGATTTCTTTCCTTGCCTAGTGAAACCCAACTTTGAAAAATGGCATATTGTCCATTCCGAATTTGTTTTCTGTAAATCGATCTTCCTAGGGAACCATCATGTCTTCTTATCAACCAGGAAGTGGAATTCTGAGTTATTTTCAGTTTCTATGGTAAATTCAATTGATATATGACATTCATCGAACTTCTATAGTATGTCTTCAAGTACACTGTTTTTATCATAAATGGTGAGTGTCATCCATGCACCGCTTGTATACATGAAACTGGTCGATCAATGGACGTAGTTTACTGCTCTCTAGACTAGCCATGAAGCGATCAGCTAAGATAGAACCCAACGATGAACCCATTGCAACTCCATCTTTTCGTCGACAAAGTTCATGTTTAAATCTTCAGTGTACAGTAAAAGTACATCGTAAGAGAAATCCCGTCAGAAAATCTTTAAGAATTCCAATTTGAAGTTTGTCAATCTCAACATACATCGAAAGCAGGTCGCTTCCGTCAGAGGAATATTTAGAAAATGATGTGACATCCAATGACAAAATATGCTGTAAACATATGTTGACATCATCATCAAAATCAGCAAAGGATCAGGTATTACCGCGCAACGGTCCAAGTTGCCATATCTCATATCAGCACATCTAGTAACAAGGAAATAAAATGGCAGTTGAAAAAGGAAAGAAAAATCAGTCAAAATAGAAAGTAGTTACAGAAAAGAGGGGGGAACGATAAAATGATGAGATAAGGTAAAGCGGTTAAGATGAGGATAATGTGTATACATCTACGTCATCGGTTCTGAACTGTATTACCTAGTCTCCGACCATTTGTTTTTCCTGTCCTACGAACCCCAACTGGCTAGCCAGCATCGCCCCACATAGCTCAAACCAACAGTCAAGGACTTCATGCATTGACGCCATGTTTTAGTCTGACCGACTCGAGCCTTTTTCCAGCTTGAATTTACTTCGACCAACATTGTCCGACGATGCAGATGGTGATTAGGTATACGTAACACATGTCTCAGTCATCTCAGTCAATGAAGGTTCACAACCACAGCAACTGACTTAACTCTCCTAGCTAAAAACCTACGCTTGACTTCTGCGTTCCTTACGTGTCTTCTGTTAACTATCCAACCCTGCCTTTCCCGTCCCTAGCATTAGCTGCCCACCACTCTTCGCAGTCGTGGCATAAACTTTTTTTCAGTCTACATCTGAGTTGCGTCCGCTCCACCAGGGGTGTCCATTGGCTTTTTTTAACCACTCTGACAGTAGGCTATGATTTTCAATACTGTTTTTTTTACTGTTTTCAGCGCTGATCGATAGCATTCTGGTTCATATGTGTCCATCGCTGAGTTGAGGCAGATGGACCGCACCTTAAGCAATATCTTTCTTCATACCTGAAGTTTGTGCTAGCTGGAAATAAGCGGCTGTCTGAGCACGGTTGCAGTGGGCGACCACCGTTATCAGTTCGTTCAGCCGCGATTCCGAAAGTGCTACTCAAGTGTCTTTCTGTCCGCCTTAGCTTACCCAGCTGCACATTAAAATAACTTGCAACAACAACCATATCTAAAAGGTCGGCTTTCAGGAGGATGCTATACAGTTTTCGGTAGGACTTATCCTTCACTTCATGCGAAAAGTAGTCAGTGGGTACGTAAGCAGAAATTACAAAGAAAAAAAGGCGATTTTCACTGTTCCTTTTAGTTTTCAAGTCAACTGGCCTGTAGTATGGAAGCTGTAGTCGGACATACGTTACATGGTTTTGAATCAACACTAACCACTGGTGACTGATTTAAGCATTCATAAAGCTCCATTTCTAAACTCAAGAAGACTTTAAGAGCGAGAGCATCAAAGAGCATCCAAGGCTTTCATGCAGTGGGAACCAATCTCCTGAGGGATCATGACAGTAAGGTTCAACTCAAAAGGAAGGAAGGCCACAACCGTACACTCCTACGCACCTACAAATAATGTAGATCAAGAGAACGAAGAATTCTACAGACAACCGGACAACACCTCACCCTCAGATGGCGGCTTCAAAATTCTAATGGGCGACATGAATGCCAAACTGCGAGGAGCGGACAACACAGGAAGAGAACTAACCATGGGTCGAGAAGCGCTAGCTGAAATGAACCAGAATGGAGAACTATTTGCAGAGTTCTGCGCATTCAACAATTTGGTGATTGGAGGCCAGGCACTGTGTTCAAGCACAAGGATATCCACAAAACGACATGTAGTTGATTTCACCAGACACCAGGACACACTAAAAATCAGATCAACTTCATCTCAATGTGAAGAAAGTGGAGACACAGCCAGCCTACTGGACACAAGATCAGATCAAGAAGGGGAGCAGATGTAGGTTCACACCACTCACTATTTAGTGCAAGCAACCTTCCGAATCAAGTTAAAAGCCTTCGATTCTAGGAAGTTGGTGATAGACCACAGTTGAAGTCCAATACCCAGAACAGAACAGCGACTGAAGGACAAAACTACAAAGGACATCTTCACGTCAGCCAGCCATCAAGACAAAATGGAAGATATCGAGCAACATCCTTGAACAAACCTGTGTGGATGAACACTGGAACTCTTTGAAAGCTAGATGGAAAGAAACCTGCATAACCGTATTAGGAAGGAAGAAGAAGAGGTGAGATAAGGAATGGATCTCGACAGACACATGGAAGCTGATAGAGCAGGGAGAGGATGATGGTGATGGTGAAGCAGAAGATAAACCAGTGCAGTGCAAGGATGCTCAACTACAAGAGGAACTGAGTACAACATAAAAACACTCCACTGGACAAAGAAGTGAAGAAGAGTGTGCGCAAAGACAAAAGACACTTCCACGACACACTGGCAAGTGAAACAGAACAGGCTGTAGGTAGAAGAGACAGAGACCTGACAACATTGTATCAAACAACCAGGTTACTATCTGGGAAGAGATCAACGCAGATGAAACCAATAAAAGATGATGACGGAAATTTAATTATCAAAGAAAAGAAACAAAGTGAACGATCGACAGACCACTTCAAGAAGCTCTTGAATCGACCACCACCACCACCACCACCACCACCACCACCACCACTACCTGCACTTCATCCAGAAATACCACCTACAGCCGCTGAACTACAAGTGAACACAAATCCCCCAACAAAAATGGAAGTTGTGAACGTCATAAAGCTACTGAAATACGCGAAA